AACGACGAATACCTAGTCCCTTCCGTTATTAGGTGCGAGCGTAAGTTCGTAGAATTAACGTACCATAAACTTAATATAATGAGGTCAAATCATCAATATTGTTTCTTATATACCATGGTATATTCTATCACCATGCCAAGCTTGAGTTGTATGCAACGTTTCATTTCGTTCTTGAGTAACAGGTGGTTGAAAGTTACCCTGTCGGAATTTTCATTTTGTGCTTCCACGGGTGTGTTCCATTCAACACAAATAATGGAGGTTATTACGTCACAATGATACATTCCTTTTGAAGAGCATTTAGACCATTAAACCATGCCCAATGAACAGCTATTGCCATGTATAGCATGTCTTTGCTGCTAGTTCTAACTGGAATAGAATTTAAGACAAATATATGGTAAAAAATGGAAGAAACTACCTAAAATTCAGTTTAGCTATGACGTCACAATGCCCTTCTCTACCATTCTTTGTTGCCTCCTTTGCAGGCGTTCATAGGTGTGACAAGTTCTAAATAAAAAGATAGGGAACTGGAACTTCGCATTTCAGTCCGCTAATCCTTTATGGCTCATCCTATCGATATCTAGCTATCGCCCGAGTTTTCGGGGTCCTTACTTGAACCAAATAAGGGCAATGCTGATGTAGGTGATGACACCAGTACGTAATTCGTTTTTTTTTTGGGGGGGGGGGCAGTATAAGGTGTCATCACCTACATCAGCTTGAAAAATAGCATTTATTTCAACATTATCATTGAACAGCGGGACATTGTAGTCGTACATTATGATAGGAAAGTACCAAGTATTATACATATTCTTCGATAAGTACGATATGGTTCTAGCTATGATTTATCAAAATTCGTAATTTCTTCTGACATCGGACTTGGGGGCAAGTTATCCTAGGTGATAGAACCAGATCTGTTGTGTTTTGGGCTTCCACCGTTTTGCCAATGAAGAAGTAGTTAATAACTAGAAAGGCCGACATTTGCTTGAGAGCAAATGCAGCAGATGGCTTCACCACATCCCCCATACCGAAAATGGATCTATCCTACGATGGCTGCCAATAGTCTACACCCCCATGCAGCAATGGAACCTTCCAATGCCAGAAATAGCCAAAAAGCCCTATTTACATAACTTTAAAGTGGTGTATGTCAAAAGCTTGAATGACTTTTTGTAGACATATGTCCAAGGTATCCCCATACCAAATTTCAGGTCATTTGGTTTTAGTACCTGGGAACCAGATCTCAAAATGTATATTTTTTGCCTGAAAATGGCCAAAAAACCCAAATAAAACAATTTTTCAAAAAAATGAAAAAAACGCGTCAGGGTATTTGCCCACTCTACCTTCATGCCAAATTTCGTGTTATTTGGCCTGAAAATGGCAGAGATGAATCCATTTAAAGAAATGGCAGGAGGAGAAGGAGGAGAAGGAGAAGAAGAAACATGAGGGAACACAATATGTCTTCACCACTTTGTGGTGAAGCCATAAAAATTATCTAGCCGTCATTTATACCCCGTGAGAAAAAAAAGAAGCCATTTCTTGTATGATACTGATGACCCTGTGTAGACAAGCAACAGAACACTAAAATGCAGCATTCCGTGCACGTGCACTTTGCATTGTACATTGAAAAAAAACAAGTATCTTATCATGTTTATGCCAACGAAAGCAGGCGAATTCCCATTTTAGTTGCTACTACTGGTACTTATTTAGAATATATACAAGAAACTAGAAAGGCCAATATTTGCTTTGGAGCAAATACAGCGATGGGTTCACCACATTTTACGACGTCATGGCAGGGAAAGAATGAGAAACACAAGGGAAAACAATGATTTACATTGATATAACTATAATATGAAGTAACATACAACTAAAACAACAGTTGGATAGCTATTCCCTACTTTATTGGTTAGGATTTTTAATTGCATAATGCAAACTGTTGATTTTCAAAATAAATAAAAAAACGTTCATGCCCCGCATTCCAATGCTGGAGCAGAAAAGCTTGAAATACCTACCAAAACACTTGAATAAAGACATACTGTCAGTATGGAAATCTCTGTGCAGGTGTTAATCAAGTTAAATCCCAACAGCCAATCAGCAAGAAATGCTCTGTGCAGGTGGAAATGCTCTGTGCTTGTGTTAATCAAGTTAAATCCCAACAGCCAATCAGCAGTATAGAAGTATAGAGGAAAGCTGCATGCCTATTGGTTGATGCCCTGCATTCCATTGTGATGACTCATGCCCAGACATGTAAACACGGCATACTAACACAGTAATACATTTGCTATAACACAGCCAAAAAACTCAAATAAAACCATTCTAAAAGCCTGTATCACAATAATTTAAAAAACGCCTAGGGGTATTTGCCCACTGTACCTCCATACCAAATTTCAGGACCTTGGGCCCTAAAATGAAGAAGCTGAATCCATTTAAAAAATGGCAGGAGGAGAAGGAGGAGGAGAAGAAGAAGAAACACCAGAAAAAGCAATATGGTTTCACCACACCACTTCGTGGTGTGGTGAACCCATAACTACATAATATGTACTGAATTTTGATAGCTAACGACAAAAACTTTCCAAAGATGAATGTTAACTTCCATATTGTGTTATCACCAACATGTTCTACATACACGTGTTGTATGCTGGCCAACAGATACGCTGCTGTTGGTCATTTTCTCGACAGATGGCGCTTTGAGGGGTTCATTAGATCAAGGACATTATAAACAGAATATAATGTCCTTGATTCGATCACCTCAATGTCACACCGTGACGTCAGATTCAGACAATCAACACGCCCATATACGTCAGGCGTTCACGTTTGTCACAACTCGTTGCGCATCAGCCAGACAGAGCTCGGCTCTGAGAGGCACAACTGCAACAAGACGACTGAGGGCCGCTCTTCAGGTCTTCTTAGTCCAGGAAGAGAGTGCGTTCCAACTGAAGATATCCCAGCTTGGAAGGTGAGAAACCTTGAGGTAAGTCAAATCACCCTGTGTTCACCATAAGTAACTGAATCTTCAACATCCAGGTAGAACATTATGTACTACAAATAAATCAAATAAAGCTAGTATTAAACTGAATGTTAAATTCTATGAAAATTTAGACGTTTCAGATAGGATGCAGTGTCTGAGAATGAGAAGATAACGGAATTGATGTGCAAATAAGAAAAATCAGGTAGCTACTATTACACAACTTGAAATTGTGTACATTGTGCCCTATATGAAGGCAACTGAAAGCTGCAGAAACGTTGGTAAGAAAAAATGTAGTTGTGAAAAATGAAATTTACCAGTTTTCAAATTAGCCTGGTGAACACCTGACAAGCCCCAGTGTTACGTCATAGCAAACCGTGTTGTTTACAAGCGCTGTGCAGATTGTCTGGAGCTGCCGTTAGAACTTGGCTGTTTGAATATTAACAAGGAGTCTGTTTACTTGTTTTTCTTTCCGCTGACATTTCCATGCCGCCGTTTGGATCTCTTTAAAGACATGAGGATCTTAAGACTAGGCCACATTTCGTCGTTGTCGAATTTCGGAATGATGATATCAAAGAGCACGAGAGAATTAGCGTTCATAAAAGCAGGCATTCTCGGATGGGCCAAATTCCGCCACAGGAGCCAAAACGTCAACATACTAGGTTGAGTGTTTCAAACAATGAATTTTAGCACCCAACATTTGCCGACTGTATGCCTGCAATACATTCGCTGTATATCCTTTCGTTCATTGTGGCTTGGTATAGAATTTCAACTCCTTTTGTTGACATAAACCTCTGGCTACAGACTTTAAGTCTACTTGACGCATTCCAAATATCCAAGCTATTCTAACTGTACATTGTTACCCTTCACTGCATGGAACAGATACGATTTCACTCTTGGTCACAGAGTTTTTTTATTGCTAGTTTACTGTAAAATGGAGTGACGCTATTGGGCTATTGGTCTCACCACGTGCTTTCTATTTATAATATTTTGTTTGACTTAGAATGTCTTGGAATTTTCCTTGCCGTCGGTTCAAAAATAGAAGCGAACTGTATTCTGGAAGTTCCAAGAACTGTGACCAATTGGACCAATTCCAAGACACACAGTTCCAAGACCAATTGGAACTGTGTGAAATGTTGGAATTTTAGCTTAACAATGGGATTTAGGCTTTTTGTTGGAAGTTAAAACCTTTGCTGCAACACAAAAGGATTGTTCTCACCAAAAACTTTCGACCGGTCACTCCGATCTTCTTCAATAGACTGACCCATTGAGACTTGTCTCGTGGCTTGTTTAAAGTGTGAAGAGTTTGAAATTCATGTTGTAACATTAAACATTGTATCTACCAACATCGAGGAATGTTTGAACTAATGATATAGGAGCTTCTTACTTTGTTTAGTAGGCAGGACAGCATGGGAAGAAAGCTGAGACACGTGCTGGTTTTCCTTCTCATCATCCTGAAGGAGCCCAACATGCTGGAAGCTGACTGCAGCTGTAAACCATCATTGTACGGCAGATGCACCGGAATGGGCCTGACCACCATCCCCCAGGACCTGCCGACGTCCATTTCTGAATTGGATTTGTCACATAATAGAATTGGAACTGTAAACCAGCTCATGCTGGTGAGGTACAGGGAGGTGACAAAATTTGTCTTGTCTTACAACCAGATAACAATGATGAAGCCAGGTACATTTGCATATCTGCCCCAGCTACGATGTTTGCTCCTGGACCATAACCAGATAACAATGATTCTCCCTGGTACATTTGTAAATATACCCCAACTACAAGAGTTGTACCTTAGCCACAACCAGATAACAGTGATTCTCCCTGGTACATTTGCAAATCTACTCCAGTTACAAGGGTTGTACCTTAACTACAACCAGATAAGAATGATACACCCTGGTACATTTGCAATTATACCCCAACTACAAGAGTTGTACTTTAGCTACAACCAGATAACAATGATTCAACCTGGTGCATTTGAAAATCTGCCAAGGCTACAAACGCTGTACCTTAGCGGTAACCAGATAACAACGATTCATCCTAGTACATTTGGAAATCTGCCCCAGCTAAAAATGTTGTGCCTTAACAACAACCAGATAACAAAGATTCAACCTCATGCATTTGCAAATCTACCGAAACTCCAAAATTTGGACCTTGGATGGAACAAGATGTCCTCCATTCCCCCATTCGCTTATAGCCTGTTAACCTCTGTTCCTACCGTGAAACTTGACGGGAACCCCTGGCAGTGTGACTGTAGGATGGCTCCCGTCAGACTAATTCCTGCATTTAACGACCAGATAAAATGTGCCCAACCCGCCAAAGTTCAGGGACAAAAGCTTGCAGATGTGAATCCTAGGTTGATATGTGAAGGACCAACGAGATCAACACCTCATGTTGATGCCCAGAACACGTTTGCTTCAACTACAATGTCCAAATCTTCTTCATTTCGCAAAACAGAAATTAATCTAGACCCCACAGCACATCCTGTAGCTTCCCCATTTGCTACTACCGGCAACATCTCTGATATCCTGTTAACTTTCAACAAACCAGAAATCAACCGTTACGGTCACCACAAATCTTCTCCCAGTTTTTCCCTTCCTGCTCTCATCGGCTCTGTCTGTGGTGCAGCGGCCCTCTCTATTGTTGCCGCCGTCCTCATCACAATCTGGTGCAAACGAAACAGTAAGAATCCTCCCTCTGGCCCGACTTCTAACATAGCATTGAGTAACATCAACACCACAGCTACTGCACCGACTAGTGGCAATGATCAGACAGGGCAGGGCCAGTCTTTGGCGTCTACTCAACCCTTGAATATCAAACATCCATCGCACGTTAGACGCCCGGCTGTCTCGCAAACTCATTACTATGTAGACGCAGACACACCAAACTCCAAGACACCTAAAGGCCTCCCCCCTCTTCGTGATGATGATGAGCCCACTTATGTGGAGCCAGACGGTGCCCACTATATGACGCCAGAAGACGTCCTGTATGAGATGCCAGCAAACAGTCATTGCGAGGATGACAACCTTCACTATTATCAACCTCTAAAAAAAGAAGAAAATTTACCCACTGATGCTTCTGGCTATATACTGGTCGTTCCCAATAACCCAATAGGCCAGTGTTAAAGAACGAAATTCTTATTACCATTCACGAAATATTCTGACAGACTTTATTTTAAACACTCCTGAAATTTCACGAAAAGCTGCTACCTTACCACTTTTCCTAAAACCTAAACTCCGTGGGGTAACACACTGGACACATTCGCTTGAAATATTAAAAAAAGGCCTAGCAGAAAACATAATGGTCCGAGACCACGGGCAATGGATAAGACATTATTATTTAACCAATGTTCACAGCCCAAAAGAGGTTAAGGACAATATCTAATTAGCAACAGTATTCTGCAATACTCCAATCCCTGGCACATTGATATAATAAGAATATGATCGTCCATGAGTCAATATCTTCTTGCAGGAGGGGGGTGTCTGTCATTCACAAAATCCCACACATTGATTATTCAGTGATCATGTGACGTTGGAATTCCGAAACCAACGCAGGCCCTTTACAATAGAACTAGTAGGCGATAATGTATGAGAGACAAGTAAGTACAGGTAGGCCTTGAAGTTTCACGGCGGTCTGTCACTACGGCATTCTTTCCCATTGCTATGCGCGTTCGAAAAGGTATCGGGTTACAAGACGCTATTTTGGCCTGTTTTGGACTACCCGTAAAATATTTGAAAATAAACAAATAATATTTAGGGGTAAATTTCGTCAAATTTAAATGAAATTATCGTCTTAACATCCTTTAAATGTTAGCTTTTTATGTTAAATCACTGATTTTTTAAAATTTCGCTCAGAAAGACGATTATTTTCGGGTTTCCGAGCACAAGTCATGTCACGTTTTTAGGCAAACATCGTTCAAACCTGGCTACGTATATTACCCCAGATCCCCGATTTTTATATTTTTCGCAGACTAGGAAGAAGATAAAAAATCGTGTTTTAGGGATTTTTTAATTTCTGATTTTAAGTCTAGTTTTTGTCGACATATTGGTGAAAAAATGGCATTTTTTGACATTTTTCTCACTAAATTACCCATAATTCAAAATTGAGGCCATTTTTCAAAAATCCCTAAAACACGATTTTCGGGACAACCGTTACGGTCATTTTGAGCCGTGAATGGGGTATGTTTAACTCTCCATGTTTCCAGGTTTGAACGAGTTTTGCAGACATGTCATATCGCCAGAAAGTGTGCATTGTGTTATTCATACTGGTGTAAAGAATCATTACAGTATTCAAGGTCACCCAAGGATACGACAGTAGCTTCGCCACATGTTACATACCCACCAAAAATTATAGCGGACATGTACTGTCCAGGAAACTGTTTGTATCTATAGAAAAGTGTTGTTTTTTTATCTATTGCGAGGCACTTAGGCAGAAGGGCTTGTTTTGCCGCTTTCTTGTAAGTGACCGCAGGTGACCCCGAAATGGAACGCGGGTTCGATTCGAATTGCCCAGATCGAACACGATCGAACACAGTTCGGGTTCTATGAAATGTGGGAACTTTGCAGCCCAGATTAGACCACCGTGTTTTGAATGAATGAATGGTTAATTGTAGTAAGAACTAGAAAGGCCAATATTTGCTTTGGAGCAAATACAGCGATGGGTTCACCACATTTTACCACATGGCAGGGAAAGAATGAGAAACACAAGGGAAAACAATGATTTACATTGATATAACTATAATATGAAGTAAAATACAACTAAAACAACAGTTGGATAGCTATTCCCTACTTTATTGGTTAGGATTTTTAATTGCATAATGCAAACTGTTGATTTTCAAATAAAAAAAACGTCCATGCCCGGCATTCCAATGCTGGAGCAGGAAAGCTTGAAATACCTACCAAAACACTTGAATACAGACATACTGTCAGTATGGAAATGCTTCTGTGCAGGTGTTAATCAAGTTAAATCCCAACAGCCAATCAGCAAGAAGTATAGAGGAAAGCTGCATGCCTATTGGTTGATGCCCTGCATTCCATTGTGATGACTCATGCCCAAACGTGGTAAACAAGGCAAACTAACACAGTAATACATTTGCTATAACACAGCCAAAAAACTCAAATAAAACCATTCTAAAAGCCTGTATCACAATAATTTAAAAAACGCCTAGGGGTATTTGCCCACTGTACCTCCATACCAAATTTCAGGACCTTAGGCCCTAAAATGAAGAAGCTGAATCCATTTAAAAAATGGCAGGAGAAGGAGAAGAAGGAGAAGAAGGAGAAGAAACATCAGAAAAAGCAATATGGTTTCACCACACCACTTCGTGGTGTGGTGAACCCATAAAAACAAGAAGCATTTCACAGTCTGACGACTGAATTACACACTAGTACTGCTTTACATATACTTAATTACACTAAAAGCACCCAGAATTACAAAAAAAAACATTTAAAGGTTTTTAGAGGTACATGTAGTAATTTTGATCCACTCCTGTAAAATAATCCATATTTTAGCTTTGTGTGAGTTATCATGTGAAGTTTGAAACCGACTCTAGACTCTAAAATATAACTAGTGGACGTAATATATAATGACGAAAGAAAAAAACAGTAGGTCTGTAGTTGCTCTACTGTAATGTACTATCATTAGTACTGTAATGGTGCTGATTTGAGTTACATATTTTGTGATACTTAAAAGTTACATATATCTAATGAACATGATTACAGCAGCATATCATATTTTCTGTAACAGTTCCAGGAGCAGAACTGTACAGTACTGTAGGTTTGCTAAGATAAAATGTCCTTTGTAATTGAGATGGTTACACAAATATAAGATCGTGCACGGACCAAAGTTTTCAGGAGTCCATCTCCACATTTTTAGTACCTGTGGTACATGCCTAGTCTCTAACCATTATAGCAGTACAACTCGTAATGCTTCTAGTGAATTTGTTTATTTGTTTGTTTATTTATTTATCCTAGTAAATAAGCAGAAGGAACACAAGTTGCTTTTGATCCATTTCCTCTTCTTTCGTTCGAAACTCATACCAAGTTCAATGACCTGGACCAGAACGTCTGTAACCATGGTAACTGGTACTTTAGCAGATACCCTGTACGTAGTGTTGGGTCACATAACGTAGCAAGTGGCTGACCACCATATATATGAGTATGATTGAGTGAGAATAAACAGAGATGTAGTTTGTTGGAAGACCATGTGAAGCTAAACATTTGCAAATGTTTCTTTCTAGAAGTTCTTAGTATGTTGCTCTTTTCATTTGGCAATGTTGCATGTTCTAGTATTTTCAATTTCTTTGTGTTATGTATCTCATTATCTTGTGGTTTTATTTTGATGACAGCATTCAGAAGCAACAAGCATAATTCTACGACAAAGATAACGAGACGAGCAAAAGGACTATGAGTTCTAGAGACAGAAGTATAGTTTTCTTCATGTTGTGTCATTGGTCTGTAATGTAATTTCATTATGTGTGTTCTGGAGTATATTTGAATATTTATTATTGTATATGGAAGACTGATTGGGGTCTTTATGCACACCACTGACTGAGGCCACATTTATACGAAAGAGCGATCAAAATTAAATGTATATTGCCCTTGACTTTTTTAAATACAAGGCAGTATTCAAAAGTACAATAAAAAGAAAATGCACGTCTAAAATGGAAAAGTGTCTATGAAATTTGCTCAGCGATCTGTCAAATATGAAGTAAGTTCTTGAATGATCACTGACTATATTTTACCAAAATCAAATTTAAAAAGTAGACAATCATTTGTTTTCCTTTATCATTCTTAAAATCCTTTGAATTCATGCATAAGGCCACACTGATTTAATTTTATGGATGACATCCGCGCGCGCATTGATTTTCGCCTGTCGCCCTCAAAAAAAAAAAAAAAAGATTACGTCCACCGAGGCTCTGGCCTGGCTCTAGGCCTGGGTAGTCCATAGTAGTTAGCGACAAGACGGAGCCGAGCACCCAGGCTATCGAATTCGAAGCTTCGCGACTCAAGAAAGTACATAAGTACAGTACCGATTCATAAATGCCGCAAAAAGCCAGCATGTCGTATACGTTGCTAAGTACTGCCGCAAATTCACAATACCAGCTTTGTATTCCTGTGGTTTAGTAGCATTTTTAGTTTTTGCCGGAATTTTTTTTATTCGCCCGCGCGCACTAGTTTGGGGGTCTTCAGAGGATGTCATCCATAAAATTAAATCGGTGTGGCCTAATGAGAAATTAATTGAAACCATTGTACCAACACTCCAAACTGTTGTGATGTAATGTAATAAAAATGATTTAAATCAAGGTTCTAGCCAGCCTGAATTTTTTTTCCGTCATCTCACATTTGGAGCGCCGAAGGCGCGACATTCTTAGGGCTGTCCGGGGGGCATGCTACCCGGGGAAAATTTTGAAAACTAGACCCTCTGAAACGCTATCTCCTGAATTTTGAGAGGCAATCTTTGTATGTAGGCAAGCTCGTTTAGGGAAAAATTACACAAACGTTTCAGCTTGATTTTGAAGTAAGCGTGGACCTTGGTCGGATCGGCAAAGAAAGAAACAAAAATTTGTAACACAAAACTTGTTGACTACTTACGACTGGTATTTAGGTAAAAAAATATAACATTTTCACCACCGGAGCCGTAAGTAATCTGTATTCTGTACAAAACTAAATAGGAATTACACACCCTTCATTTGGAAAGAACGACATCAAGGCGTCCCATCTTTCCGCCCATGTTACTTTTCCCGGTAACTTCACTGAATGTGATCGTAACTCGCCAATTCAAGCCCTCATTTTGGTTACCGACGAAATATCGCGAATTCGCTCTGAACCATTTCTGACCTAGTCACTGTATATTCTGGGTATATTCGACCTATAGTTGAATATGCTACGCCCTGTTGGAATGCGGGTATCACAAAAAAACAATCTGACAGAATAGAAAGAATCCAGAAAAGGGCATCAGAATCATGCTGGGTAGAAGCTATCACTCGTATTCCGCGGCCTTGTTAACTCTTGACCTCCAACGTCTGTCTGAGCGCAGACTTAACCTGTGCCGGGCCTTTGCCCTTTCAGCTACAAGGTCTAGGCACGCCCCTTGGCTACCTGCAGACAGTAACCACCCACACAATATGCAGCTTAGGCAAACACGGCGATACAAACCACCCAAAGGGACACAAAGATATCTACGTAGCCCGGTTCCCTCAATGTTGCACATATTGAACACCTTGGACTTAGATTATTTTTTTATAATAGCTGTATGTGTTGTAATAGTGTTCCATCTTATGTTTGTTGTAATCGTTTTTAGCTATATGATGTAATTTGTAACCGTTCTTGTAACGCCGTAATTTTAACATAAAAGTGCAATAATCTAGTGCAATAATCTAGTGCAATAATCTAGTGCAATATTTGATGCTTATGCTTAAGTTATGTACATGTTAAATATATTCTACCTGTGTATCCCATTGTAAAAGCTGCCCAATTCAGCCTGTGGGCTGCAATTAGCAACTTATATGTATGTTGTATGTATGTTCCTTTCGAAATAAACCAGTCTATATATTAACCAACATCTCGCAAATCGCGAGATTTGTCTGTCATTGGTTGATTTTTCGTGACGCAGCGTGTTATTCAGCCCGTGAATGGTGGAACTCCGACACTGTTAACCATTTTTCGCGGGAGAAAATTGCGTTTTGTGGGATTAATTGAAAATCAAAGGATGTTTACAAGAAATACAACAGATGTCGACGTCTAAAAAATTTCAGAATTTTTTTGGCTTCTTCGAATAATTTGAACAATTATTGACAGTAAACCCGGCAAAAGTCGAAAACTTCGGCTGCTTCGGCATATTTAATATGTGACCGGTCGACCGGCCAGAACTTGAGTGGGGACCTTTCCTGCGTTCTGTGGGCGCCGTTTACCTTTTACTGATCACATCAACTGCACGCAGGGGGGGGGGGG